CACATGATTTTACATGTCCAGAAACAGAAAGTGTATTTTCGGAGACGAAGGAATTGAGGTTACGCAAAACGATTGTCTTGTTACAGCAAGTAATGAAAGTAAATTCTTCTTCCATGGACCTGCCTCTCACTGAAAACAACTGCAATCTGTCAAAATAGCGACATAATTTGGTGTGACTCAGATATATCCTGCTTTTTTTCTCTGTCGTAGGGCTGGTCCAGCGTTGGCCCAGTGACCCTGTTATAATTGGACCCACATTATTTGGATCATAACAACCTGCATGAACTGACCAGTTATCCTGTTTACTGAAAGAATACTTTTTAACTGTACAGCGATGATGAAGAGTTAGGGCCTGTGTACACTGACAGTGCTTTCAGCGCTGGCAAGCGCTCACAACCTCAGTTTCAGAGTGCTTCTCTCTGGCGCTTCTTGTTGCTAGGTTACGAAAGTTAACTTCCACCTTTCTGGGTAGTGATCTTTCGGTTTGTTTTGAAAAGCTCTGTATGCTTAGTATTTGCTTTTTATTCAAGGAAATATCCTCAAAATATTCTCGGCTTTAGGAGCAGCGCTAGATATTGTATCTTTGAAAAGATGAGTCACATAAGTTCCTCCTCCACCATTTGTTAGCTTTGTCTTGATTTCGATTGGTTGGGGAGGGAGAAGTGACACCGACAAGGGTGGCGGGGTTAGAAATGAAAAAAAAATATTCCACTGGTAACTCTGTGACTGCAGCAACAAAAAAACAAAACAAAAAAAAGAACTTGAGGGCGTTTTTATTCTTGGGACGCTGAGCATGGAAAACGCTGAACCACATTAGCTTCGTATTGAAATGGGCGCTGCTAGCACAAAGAGCACCATCAATGAACACAAGCCCTGTGTATATCTGTGTGTCGTCTGCTACGCAGACGACACACAGATATACCTTCCTTTGAGACCTGAGGACCCTAGGAGCCTAGCTGCTGTCAGAAACTGCCTAAGCGATATCAACTGCTGGATGGCGCAAAACTTTCTCCAACTGAACAATTCTAAATCTGAAATCATAGTATTCAACCCGCCAAACACCACTCATATCTCAAAGAGCAGCCTCGGTCCCTTATTCACCAATGTCCAACCCACCGCCAGAAATCTAGGAGTAACATTCGACTGCAATCTCACCTTTGAATCCCATATCAAAACAGTTGTCCGATCAAGCTTCTTCCATCTACGCACCATCTCCAAAATTAAAACAATCCTAACCCAACAAGACCTTGAAAAGATCATCCACGCCCTCATCTTCTCCCGACTTGACTACTGTAACTCCCTCTTTTCCGGAATCACAAATAAGTCACTGTCTCGCCTCCAGCTGGTCCAAAATGCAGCAGCTAGGCTTCTTACTGGTTGTAACAGACGACATCACATCACTCCAATTTTAGCTTCATTACACTGGCTTCCTGTACGTTCTAGAATCGATTTTAAGATTTTACTCATTACTTTTAAAGCACGGACGGGGCTGGCTCCAAGCTATATAACAGAGTTACTGACACCATATGAGCCAGCCCGCAGTCTTAGATCCTCGGGTGGGAGCCTCCTGGTCGTTCCAAAGTCGAGACTTAAAACTAAAGGTGACCGGGCCTTTTCAGTCAGGGCCCCTCGACTTTGGAACGACCTCCCTGAGGAGATAAGACTCGCAGACTCCCTCAATTCTTTTAAATCCCTTCTTAAAACATACTTTTACAGACTTGCTTTTATGTGATGTCGTCTTCTTAATGTCTTCTCTTACTGGTTTTACTATTTTATCTTCTTCTACTTCTTACTGTCTTTTATTTATGGTCTTATCTCGTATTTATGCTCATATCTTAATCTCCTCTTGTGTTTTAACTTGGTAATTTCTTATCTTACTTACTTTGTCTATTTATGTTTCGTATTTATAGTTAATTTTTATTTTTATTAATATTATAGTTTTGGGTTTTTTGATCCTTTAACCACTTGTTTTTATTTCCTTTACTGCGCTTACCTTCTCATTGCTTTTTATTTGCTTTTATCTCTTAGTTTCTTACATCTTTTTAAATCTTTGGTCCTCTTGGTCTCAGCTCATGTTGTTGGGTTCTTGTGTTCCTGGTTCTTATGATGGTTCTTATGATGGTTGGGTTATATATGTCTGGTTGGTATCGTGCACTTTGGTTCTTTTCTGTTGAATTGTTTTTAATTATTTTTGGTATTTTGCATCTGTTATATTCTTACTGTTGTTAATGTTTTTCTGTGTTTAGTTTGCTTTGTTCTTGCTGTTTGTCAAAGCACTTTGTAAACCTGTGTTTTTAAAAGGTGCTATATAAATAAAGTTATTATTATTATTATTATTATTAAACTTTAAGGATAACATGCAGTCTATCACTTCGATTGCCAGAGGGATGTCTAGTGTTTCCTGTTAGCTTATCCTTCTGCAGTACCTTATTTGTATTTGCAGTTCTTATGAATTCTTTAGAGGATTATTTTATTGCGTGAAAGAGGGTGAAAAACGTAAAAAGAAATCCTTGTTATAACAAAGACGAGACATGCTATAAAGCCTGACATTTCTTTTTTTTTTTTTTAACTCTGCTAGAGTTAATGGTGACTATTGAGATTAAAATTGCCCTGTGGAATGTCTGTGGTCAAATAGCAGAATATAGCAATGTTTTTAAATTGGCATCGACCTTTTGTTTGTTTTGTACACAATCACAGTGGTGAGACAATTTACATCCACAGATGGAGTCATGACACTCAGCTCATCTTCAGGTGCTTGTCTGAAGCGTTACATCGACCACTGGTGTCCTGATGCAATTTTAACGTCTTTGGAGTTTCAGCACACATGAGCCTGGATGTGATAAACAACCCCAGTTTCCTAATTTCCCTATCAAGTTAATCATTTGGACTTTGTTATTCTTAATCCAATAGCAGATATAATTTAAACAGGACGGGGACGGGGGAGGCATGTTCTCCAAATGCGTCACATCTATTTGTGAGTAATGATAACATCACCAGTGAACTTGTGATTATTAGATTAGATTTTGCAAAAGTGGGGTGTGATGTTGTTCCCATGCACTGTGTGTTTGTGTGTTCCTAGATAGCTGTGTTTTTCATTGATTTGTAAAAGAATCCAACACTTTTGTCATATTTTCTCATCAGCAGAGAGAAATCTTTACATCATTAAATATTTTTAACCTTATCTCCAGTGTTTTTAATCAAAACTTATTCTGTTCCAACAAGCTTGTATAAACATTAAGTTGTGAGACTTTTTCTTATATTCACAATGACTGACTGGGTCCATTTAACTTCAGAAAGGTATTCTTTACTTGTAAACATGTTTTTGGTTAAACAAGTGATGCTGCTTTTTGTTTCGTATTAACGTTTTTTTTCTCAAGACATTGACTCATTTTTAGTCTCTCTCCCCCTTCTCTCTCACAACACACCGAGGGACACACAGCTCGACTGACTATTCGGTGTGATTCATCAGCATTACCGGCAGAGCAGTAACTTTATTATAACAGATCTTATCTAGTCTGCCCGGCTCACTAGTTTAAAGCTCCAGGTCTTTGACTCTTTCTTCTTTGTCCAGCTCGTATCCAGAGGGCTTGTGGTGCTGCAAAGAGATAGAGAGGTAACCAGCCAGATGGGTAAAACACACACACACACACACACACACACACACACACACACACACACACACACACACACACAGATTGTCTTGAAGATATGGGGTGCAGATGACTTGAGGATCAGCTTTCATAAGCTGCTCTGTGTCTCATTGGCCACACAGATGCCCACACAGACACACTTCTTTTCTAACAGAAGCACAGTCTGGTTCTGACCCCAGACTCCAAATTTAGAATTCAAGTTATAAGACAAATTCCTTTTTCTTTTTTCAGGAATCTCTCTAAAGAAAAACAAGGAGTTTGATTTCATGAAGATTGCTGCGCATAATAACACGAAATGTGACTGTGAAAGAGGAGCTTCATGCATTTAAAGCGAATGTGCAAAGATTTCCAAGCTAAACATGTTGTGCAAGCAGAGCAAAAGCATTATTTTGAAAAAAGAACTGATAATATCAAAGCTGAGTATTTTGAAAAGTCTTACGTTTATAAAACAATAAGAATAAAATGAAATCTTTCTGACTGGGGTGCTAAAGTTACTGACATATCCCCACTTACTGCCTGTTTACTAAGGAAATGTGGACATGATTAGATCTAGCTGTGAGTGGAGGAAATTTGAAATGTGTGGCAAGTCAGTTTGTTTGTATATAGCACCATCTTGTGGGCAAAATGACGAAACACTTCCTGCAATATCATGGGGAAGAGGAAGACGAAGTTAAACAAAATTCAAAATTCTCCTGATACACTTTCAGAGGAACAATATTTATTAATAATATGATAAAAAATATATTTATATTTAATTACATTTATTGTGTCAATGAAAATCTGAACAGTTAAAATTGGATTTTACAACAACAACAAAAAAAAACGCCGGTAATTTGAGATATTTTAGCTCAATAAATTAATTTCATGACCCTATGGATACTGATCTCCAACTGGCTTTAATTTAAATGAACAAAAACAAGAAGAAACTGACAGTTTTGGTCGGCCTATTGTACCTATGCCTTATTATATAGGGCTATTTAAAATTAAGTTATTGTTTTCTTTAGAATAATTTCGCCCTTAGTATTAAGATATTAACGATTAAGTGCTTTTTAATAACGATACCATTTGAGGGTATTTATGGAGCATTACACTGCACTTCCGATTTCTTGCATTTATATCTATGGTAGTAAACTGTGCATCGGAAATACAAAGCAAGTCAGAAAAATCAAGATGATATTGGATGCTGCAAAGCGGACAGTTACATAGATGGATCAATGTGGGTGGACACTGGACACATGCGCACTGTTGGAATAGTGAACTAAAAAGAACAATACAGTAGGTGGCGGTAATGCAACTTTTAGGGTGCCATAAAACTCTAAAGAAGAAGAAGAAGAAGAAGCAGAAGTTCAACTCACGTTGTGTTGTGACCGCATGTGACCACAGTGGGGCAGCACATGTAAACACATGTAATCTTACACAAGTTGTTACCAAACGCTGAAGGCCACCTCTGTTACATGTCGCAGCCACCTCTTCATAGTATTTCTGTCTCATTGAAGGTAAGTCGTCTGGATTTCTTTTTGACAGTTTGAAGTGTGAGATTTCTCCAAAGTTGAATTCATCCCTATGTGGAAAACCACGTAGGGATGAATTTAAAGTTTCTTGTGTTACTGTCTTCATATTGAAGTCTCGTAACGTACTGCACTCTCTCTCTGTACCTTGTTAACTGAGCCCCCATAATGAGGCAGTATGTGCAACAAAAAAAAACCGTGAATTTTCATGTCTTTGTGTTTTTTTTGTTGTTGCAGGAAGGAGCTGTTACACCACTGAGACAGCAATGAAGTCCATTGCTTGTTTCTCATCGTCCGTCAGGGCGGCTTGTCAGCACACCTCCGCTTGTTTCCCTCTTAATCGCGCTCCTCTTCTTTGCACTCATTTAGACAGACGCTCTAATATGGACACAACTGTAGAACACTTGCGCGCGACTCCGCTTCGCAGTTTTCACAGCACGCACGTGAACACGGCAGTCGTCCAGCAGGTGAGTGCCGCGCCTTCGTCCACCTCGGTGCCATCACCGTGGAAAAGAGGAGATGAACCCACCGTGCAGCAGCTGGGTAGACGCGTGCCAAAACCAGCTGCACGACCAGCCCCGCACCTCCCTCCACACAGCCCACGCGCAAACCCGCAAAGCAATGCAGCTGCACGTGTCAATATGCAGGCTCTGTTTGAAGGGGATGGGATCCCTGAGCTCTGCTCCAGGCTGGCAGATCTCCCCAGCAATGACCGGGCAGAGGGACTGGCCACTCTGCTTGGGGCGTGTGTTGAATTTGACTTAAGTGCTGACAGCCCTCTGGTTCTCAGACTGATGAATGAGTGCCTGCAGCTCCTCTCACACAGGGACCTTGGGGTGGCTCAGCTCTGCCACCTGGGTGAGGTGTCGTACTCCCTGGAGGGCCACAAGTCAGCCGCGCTCACAGAGGTCCTGGACTCTGTCGGAGTTGCCGTGGAAGAGAACGTTGCCACTCCCGGTGAGGCTGTCAGGGTGTACTCTCTGCTCGCTCAGTGTTATGATCCGTCCAGCCCGCGCCAGATGTTCATGCTGTCCACTCTGAACAGACACACGCAGAGGATGGTCCACTGGCTGAAGGCGACACAAGTCAGCATGATACTGCAGTCCCTGCTGAAGTTGCAGCACAGACAGGCGAGTAATGCATGGCCTCTTCTTTGATTTTGATGAAAGTGACACAAAAAAAACAAAACAAATATAGTGGTACATGGAGGCTGTTTTCATAATGTGTAATTGCCGATGTTTGTTTCACAGGCCATTACCCTGGTGTTGAGGCTGTGTCACAGAGCATCTCAGGTCTTTCAAGCTTTTAGCGACGAAGAAGTTATCAAAGTTCTCTCGGCGCTCATGATTTTTGGACAACATGATGTCAAGCTCCTTGCCGCAATGGAGAAAGACCTGCCAGGTTGGAATGCATTTGTATTCACGGGGATCCTTTCAGACTTATCCCTTTGCTTCTCTTTGCGCGCCTCTTCTAAATAACAGGGATGTTTGTGCTGTTTGATTGTGAGGATGTTGTAGTTAACTCAGAACTTCTGTGCTGCTCCGTGTCAGGGAGGCTGGGAAAGTGTGATCCAGAGCTGCTCAGCACCGTCATGGAGTACTGCATGCAGATGAGGTGCCGCTCTGAGCCCATCTTCGAGGCTGTGGCTGAGAACTTCGTTTGCCAAGCTGAGCAGCACAGCACCTTGCAGATAGCCAAGCAGATTGTTGCCATGGGGAGACTCAACTATCTGCCACAGGTGAGGGCTCTTCATAATGTTCCAATCCTCTTTATTCACATTACTGACAATTAGAAACTCAAGGTAAGCGCTAAATAGCAGTTGACATTATTGAGGGGTGATCCTTTTTTCACGCTTGCTAGACACGCTGTACTCAATTGATAATGTACTCTTATTATTTGTGAAGCAGCGTGACATAAAAGTAATGCTTTCTCTAACTTGTGTTTTCCCTTTCTCTCTCAGTGCTCCAGTCAAATGTTTAAGAAGCTGGAGAGCATTTTGTCCACCCGGTTTTCCCAGTTCCAGCCTCGCTCCCTGATTGAAGTTTTGCACGCCTGCATCCACCTGGAGCGCTTCCCACTCAACTACATGTCCAAGATCTTCAGCCCGTTTTTTCCTACAAAAACTGCAAGGTGTGTGTATGCGGCATGGTCACTCTCTCAATTTTATCAGGTGTTCCATTATTTCCTGTTTAAAGGAAGATTAGAACAATGATACACACGTATATTTATGTCCAGTAGTGCCAGGCTGGCCATGTCCTTTACTGCTTGTTAATAAATCAAGGATGCACATTTCTAAATTCTACTGAGTTTCTAATTATCTGTTTTTGATGATATAGTGGGACATTCTCAAACCTCCCATTTTTAAAAAGTAAAAATAACATATTTAATGTAGCATTAATGTCAGAATACTTGTGTCAGATTATAGGTGAGCGCTTTGCTGAATCGAACAAAATGCACAGCTTTTGTGTTACGAGCGTCATCTTGTGGTGCTCAGAGGATGATGCACCGGAAGAACACACTCAGACAGTGTTTGGATAAGCTATTCACTTGCCAGGGGGGGCTTTATAGGCCAGAATAGATATAGGTTTAGGATAACATTTGTTAATTTGTTGCAATAAATCTTATACAGAGAATTTGTCGGCCTCCCCGTTGCTATGGTTACTCATTTTAGACACCGTCTGCAGCGCATTAATTTGGAACTTGTGTAAATCGGTGCACTTCTAGTGATGAAAGCTACAACAGAAACCTCAAAGAACTTGGTCTTTTTCAATTCTCTTTTCTTTTTTTCTTTTTTTCTTTTTTTTTTTATGAAATTTTCAAAATCCAAAACAAAAAACACCAACCAGAGTTTCCATTTTTAGACACTTCAAATCCATTATCTCCCCTTTACCCTTTCTGAAGATTATTTCCTTTTTAAGTGGAACTACTTCCATTGGTGTCCAGATATCAAAAGTTTATGGACACCCACGTGCCTTCATTCAGCCAATCAGAATCGGGTATTCACCTGGACCATTGTATAATGGTACATATAGAACAGAGTTTATGCTCATACCTATAGATACTGATTTCACCAGGATAAGCTCATGTCAGCCAATACTCTGATATATAACAGTAGTCCCTATGTAATATTTGTGTACGTTATGGAATGCATGTGATGTAAGCTGTCCCTTTCTGTCTTACAGCACAGAAGGAGATACTGGACAAGAATACACTTGGACAACTGACACAGCTTCACCTCGCCACCTCATTAGAGTGCACTCACTACTGGGTGAGAATAACACACTCCTCCTTGAGTTTTTGAAAATGAACACCCAGTTATTCAATGAGCATACTAAACCTGTTCAAGGAAACAAATCTGTATGTCTTATTCATCAGGGCCCCAGACTGCCTTACTCCCCTCCATGTGAAGAAGTTCTCCTCTGAGGACTGGGCCTTTGAGACACCTGTGGAGAGTCTCTTTTACAGACGGATCAAAGGGCCACTTATACTGCTGCTGGGGGGGAAGTTATACTCTTCCAGAATTTTAACTCCCAGTGGTTACACTGTAGGTAAGCAGCATGTATAGAAATAGTCATAAATTGATGATCAAAAGGGAGAAAATACAAATTTAATGCACTGCTCATACAAAGGTTAAGACACTACATGGACCTCGGATACTTTTTTTTTTAAGAATGACACACACAGCCTGCTGAGATACATTCTATGTGTATCTCTTCTTCATATTGGAAAAGGAATCTTCTCCTGCTGTACACACTGTTTTTGTTTCACCTTTCTCCCTAGATGTGGAAATTTGCCTGGATGAGAATGGATACATTCTGCCTCCGTCTCGGTGGGATAACGTTCACAGAAGGTAAGGTTTTCCTCCACATGTTAACTGTGTCTGAAAAGAATTGGCAAGGGAATTTCACATCAAAATACTAATACATATGAATTTTAGTTTGAAACAACAATAATTTACATTTTGGACCAAATCTGGTCAATTAACCTTCCTCCCCTACAGAGTTGTAGATAAGCAGCATGACACTTAGCCCTGTTTTTCCAACCTGTCCTGTCATGTCTTGTGCGTGAAGGCTGGCGCTGTGTTTGGATGGTCAAAACCGATTCTGCAGCAACACACGACACCTGCTGGGCAAGGAAGCCACTAAAAGGAGACACCTCTGCAGGATGGGCTATGAGGTGGTGCAGGTAGGTTTAAGGACATTTGTCAGACGAGTAGTACAAAAGTAGTTATATTTCAGTTCCACATCTTTCATCCAATGCTGATCAACAGTTTCTTACATACTTGTGTTAATATTTAAAGGTCCAGTATGTAAGATATTTACTTAATTAAATTATAAAATAACCTTAATATATTATAGACATTAAGGAAACATGCTATGTTGAAGTGCTGGCTTCTCTGTCAACAGAGCAGCAGCCAGTATGTCCTTCTAAGTTTTGATTCCGATTTCTGAATGGTTTGTTCATGTTTTGACCAGAGAAGTAGACAGCACCCCAACATAGCCGTTTTGCCCCTCCGCCCCTCGGTTTGCCAGGCAAGCGGCAAACCAACAGGGGTTGCAGCGATAGAAGCGGACAAGCAAACTGGATCAGCTATAACTGATTCCACCCGACCTAAAAAGCCTCAGCGTTTTTTCGAATAAACTCCACGACCAGAAACGTAGTTAAACTAGGATAGAGATCCAAGATGCTTTTGAGAAATGGAGAGAGGTTAGAACGCAGAAAGGTTTCAAGACTGTTGCAGAGCTGGCTAAACACTGAAGCTTCAGTGTCCACCACATGGCAATCTGCGTGCACATCGACTCTAGGGAGGAGGGGGGGGGGCGAGTGAGACAGCTCTCTCCAAATCTCTTGAATTTGGACTGCAGTACCCATTTTAAACACTATATGTCAGTTACATTTTGATCCTTCAAGTGTTTCCTTTGGTGAGCTCCAAAATCATAAAGTTCTTAAAACTGACATTTAGAAGGTTTTACTCCTCAATTGGTCATACATAGTCATAGAAATATTAGTGTTGAATAAAAAGATCCACTAAGATTTCTGCTTCTTTTCTCTCACAGATTCCTTACTTCGATTTCGAGCGGATGAGAACTCGTAAGGAACAAGTCAAATACCTTCACAACAAGATCTTTCCAACCATCTTCAAGTTCAGTCACCAATCCCAATGACCCATCAAGGACATTAACTGTTGACATACACCAAATCTAACAACCTTCCTAATGTATTCACAGTGAATACACTTGAGATCTTCAGGCATCTTTGTTTGTAACCATGGTCCCCTATTTTTGCATATTTTATGAAGCAAAGTGCCTTTTTAAGCGTCAGAGTAAAAACAATGTCAGAGGATAATTTTACCAGAATAAGATACACCATGTCTGAAATGTCAAATCAGTCAGGATGAGTTATTTTTTCTTGAAAACGAATCAAATCCTATTGATTTTTAATGACTAAAGAAGGGAAGACGTCACAGCAGAAATGCTGCTTCATCAGCTTTAGGTGTTACATTTATTTGACATTTAGCCCGATGACCTGAGAACAGTATCGCTACTTTTTAGGCCATAGTTGCACTCTTTGATTCCAGGAACTTCAAAAGGAGTTTAGCAATGTTTTCAACTGTGATTTATTTATTTATTGTTCATGACCATGATAACTGTCTGTCATTATTTATGATTCATTTAAGAAATAAAGTACACCATGCACATATTGAGTGCCACAGACTTCAGCCTTTGCCCTGTTGTGACCTTTGTGCCTCATTTTTGGGGGTTTGTAAAATCAATTAGAGTTAATTCATTTGACAAGATGATGTTTTTATTTGATGTGGTACGGTGTACAGTAAATTATTTCATATTATACTTGAGGATTATTTTCAAGAAAAAGAAAACACAGAGCTTGGGTCAGGCGATGCTCCTGCTGGTTCCTTTCTGTTTTCTCTCTCCTCTTCAGCCTTTGCTGTTGAAGTCATTGTGTTTCTAATGAAAAACAAAACATTTTGCAATTAGTGTTTTATTAATTATCTGATAACTGCTTTAAATATAGGTAACATCCAGAGCTACAGTTTGTGTGTATTATATGTATCTGTCTTCACCTGAGAGAAACTGGTGGCAGGGTAGCTGTGCGGGGATGTGCTGTAAGGACCAGCTCTCCTCTGACGGCTTCCATCATCAGGTTCTGGAGGGTGTTCAGCAGAACATCTTCACTAAAGTCAGCAGGCACATGTATTGTTTGCTGTGTGTTATCTGTTTGAGGCCTTTCTATGAAACCTCCACCTGCAGTCTCCTGACTGTCCACAAGGTTGTGTTGCCCCCTTTGCACTGCCATTGTCCCACTCAAAACCTGAGGTTTGGGTGTAGTGTGAGATGTAGATGAGAGAGGAAGCGGTGCTGGGAGGGAGACTGGTAATAAGGATTTGGAGGAGTGACTAGTTTCTTGAAGTGGGTATGTAATGGGCTGCGACACCATGGTTATCAGAGACTTTGTGAAGGCTGAATCATCAAGGATGTCCCTGGAGAGGAGATCAGCACATACATGTGGATGAATACTTTCTGGCTCTAAAAATATATAAAATATAGATGTTCACTCCAGTTCAGTGTGGACGAATGTCTAAAGCATGGATATGGGTGACAGTATTTAGTATTACCTGAGCACAGAGTTGAGTACTTGCATTAGGATGTCCCTGTCAGGGCCATGTGAAGGAGGAGATGTGCTTGAACTAGTTGTTTCAGGTGTCAGGGGCCTGATCAACTGATGGCATCTGAGGAAGAAAGCACATGGTTTTTTGCTACTGAACAGAAATACTGACATAAATCTGACCTTGAAGGTAGAACATACTGTACATCAGACACCTGTATGATTCAGAGTCAAAACATATTTCTTGAACCTTGAACAATTCTGTATACACATTTGTAAATTGTAATTTGCACAAGATTACTCTATCTTTGATTCTAAACGTGTGATGTAAGAAGAAGTTTACCTATAGTGCTCATTGAACTGATCAGGGAAGTGTGTGATGTAGTCCAGAAGTCCATGTGAGTGCGCTGTAATGCCCAGATGAAGCAGAGCAGGTTGAGGGGGTTCAGGGCACGTCAATACTTTGGCTTTTTCTCGCTGTGCCCGTCGGTCAGCTCTTGTTATCTTGGTACATATAGTGCCCACTGTTTCATAACTAGTCCTGGCACAAATTGGAGGAAGAGTCTGGATGGGAGAGAAAGTGATTCAAAACACACATGCAACAAGAAAGCCTGGCAAAGCACTATTTACACCTCATGTCACATTCACCGATTTACACGGTGATGTCTGATATGTAAAGTGTCCATCAGTATTAAGAATCCCATGCTGCTGACATAGCAGCAGGAGCAATTTGGGGTTCAGTGCCTAAGGACACTTCAGCATGTGAATGCAGGAGCTGGGGATTGAACCTCTGACTTTACCCTTGAGGGACAACCAACTCTACCACAGCCTCTCTTAGTTATGAAGCTCCGCTGTCCTTACTTCTTCGTTCTTTCAAATTGATTCTGCAGTTGTGTTATATCGGTGTCCCAGTTACAATAGCACAATGTGTAAAGAAACAGTGGAGGCTCCACATACAAGGACACACTCAGACACACACACACGCAGTGCTGTTCTCCCAACAGTGATTAAAGTGTTCCTGTTTTGCGCATTACTACCTCTGATGTTGGCAAAGTAATTGGATGACTTGGTCCCACCATCATGCATTTTAGACATTTATATTAAAGGCAATACGTTACAGGGGCATACAAATAGTACTTTGAACTGGCAAAATGAATGGGGCTTTTAGATTTCTTTTTTTCACAACTTTCATGATGGAAAATGTGACACTAAACCCCCACCTTGTATTTCCTGAGTGGTGGCCCTTTTCGTACTGGTGCTGCTAAAGGTTCCTTTAAAAGACAAGAGGTAAATACAGTGAGGAGGAAATTGTTACATTACAGTCAGAAATATAACATCGATGTACTCTGAGAAAGAGGAAATACCTCATCTGTCAGAACTTTTGGGGTTTCTGTAATGTTTTTGTCCGTGATAATGAATTCTACTTGCTGTCTTTCTTTCTCTTCCTCCCAGCGCTGCAAAGCATCTCGATACTGAGTCACTTTAGCCTCCTGAATAACCTGGAAACAAGAATTCATTAATGTAACAAAGAGGACGATGTGGACCTGCTCTTTCTGTAAAGTTTCATGAGATAACTTTCGTTTTAAATTGGTGCTGTACAAATAAAATTGATTGGTTGATTGAGTTTATCATCCATAATTTGCAGAGAACAGCCAGGACTGCTATCCCATTAATGCGACTTTAAATATACAACAGAATGGCCATGGTACCTGACAGAGAATGTCCAGCTGGTAATGAGTGGGGTAGTCCGAAGAAGTAAATGTAAGAAAACAAAGGGAACTCTCTCCTGGATGTAGAACCCCCTGCTGTGGATGTATCTGTACCACCTGATTAAAAAAACACAAACACAAACATGGACACACACACACACACAAACTTGATTAACAGTGATGTATTTATTTATTTTTTACCTTGAATTCTATATTGTGAGGTCACACAGATAAGAGTAGACATGTCTACAAAGTAACTAAATACAAAATGTACTAGTATCAGTGCATATACCACCATTCCTGTACCTGCTGATTGATCTGCCGCGGGAGGTCCCATGTATAGTGGACAGTGTCTGTGTGGGACCTATTGGTCAGGTAGAGGATTCTTGATGATCTTGAACACACAGGGATGTCACCCAGAGAGACACTGTCCTCGGACAGAGACACCACCTACACATTCATATTGCACAGACACGTATTTGAGATGAATGTTAACCTTAAAATGGTGAAATTAAAAAACACAACGAAACATAAGGAACAGAAAGCCAGATGAAGTTACATTTGAATATAATTTGAAAAGACAACTGCTCGTACCTGTCCTGGGAAGGGAAGCCTCTGAACACAGGCCTCAGACATTCTACAATCACTGCAGTGAAATTGTTTTGTGAAGCACATTGTGGGAGAATTTAAGCCACATCCCTCAAACATCACTTGTGTGGAGTCTCCATCCTGGATATAGATGAGAATATCCATCTGCCAAATATAAACCAGACAGGACTTCAAATAAAGGAGATGGGATATTCATTGAACTAGCTTTAGTCAAAAATGCTATTATTTGTGTTATCTTCTTGTAAAAGGCTGTATATGACTCAGTCCTTACATGGTACATCTTAGCCTCTAGTGGAGAGAAAATCCATTCCAGCATGATTGTTTCTCCTGGTAGGATTTTTCCCTCTGGATTTAGGCAGCACAGCACTGGATGGTTAAAGTTGTCCACCTGTAGCTGATATAACACATCTCTGTCCACCTTATAACAGACTGCCACTGCACCACCATTGTGTAGTTCAAACCCCTGCAAAGATACACGTGTCAAGTCTTATAGAGTGTAATGTAAAAAGTTGTATATATTTTAAATAGACAGGATCATAGTCCAGTCTCCTGAGGAACTGATTTGTAAATATACTCATTCTGAAAGTTTCTGAATAGATTAAAAAGAGTATTCCAATAGATCACTGTGTTTTTCTTTGGGTAAATAGCAATGAAGCAGTACATTTGTAAGGAAAAGCATGTTTCTTTTAAAGAGAACAACAGGAGATTTCAATTTCAGATTTAATGGTCAATTTCTGCTTAGAGGGTCACATCTATATTGGAAAACACTTCCGCAAGTATTATAAGAAGAGATATCTGTGGAAACTGCTTGAGTGAAGATATGCCAGGCTCACTGTGCAAGTCCTAAAAGGCATTAAATTAAGAAAAGAAACCCACCTGCCTGGGAGGATTATAGTCCCCAGTCATAACAGAATCGAAAACATGACGCTTGGAGGCAAAGTGGAGATATGGTCTGTCTCTCTCCACTGTCAAACCCTGAAAGTTCATCTGCACACAGCACCACAACACAAATACAAGTCAATTAAAACATAGAACTTTTACTAAATAGTTGTTTATCATACTTAGGGATTAATTATCCTTACAGGGTAAACCCTTTAAAGCTATTCTAGAGAATATATTCTTCTTCATAAATGGAATGAACATTATATTATAGGTAAGGCCCTAAGGTGACTTGAATCAATTGGTACAATTCTGCCTCACCAAGATCTCTCTGCCATATGAAATTTTGAACACGACAGGAAACCGATCCGTTCCACTGAAGTCGTGACTGTGGGGACAAAGTTGAGATACTTTAAGGATCATGTTAGATCAAAGACACAATTTTAACAAAATTCCCTTTAAAAAACCGATGAACTTAAAGGGATAATTCACCCATTTGCATTAAGCTTTGTATCATTAAAAACCTGGTAGTATTTTTGAATGGTCGTGCATCCCGCCCTCATTTTCTTTGTATTGTTAAGTCTGAAAAGGAGCTTCTGATGACGCAAAAATCGTCATTTTGCATCATTGGAAGCTGTTGCGGTTAGCGGGGTGAAACTACAACGCTAGTTCCTTATATTTTCGACCACTGAAGCTACAGACCAATCACAGATCAGTGGGTGGGAACTCACTCCCAGAAACGAAACTTAACGGCCGCAGCAACCGTCTCGCGACTATATTGCTATATTGCTTGCCGCCGCTGCCAGCTCAGCAGCCGAGACATAAGGCCTGACTGTCGGCGGCGGCGAGGACGATGAGCCGGGTATGGCTTGAGCTGGGGCAGACTGGTAGTGTTGAT